CGGCTGGCCGGGCGCCAGGGGGCCGGTGCCGCGGAGCACGCGCGGGGGGCGGGGGGAGCGCGGCGCAGTTGCCAGAGCCGCTGCCTTTGTCTGAGGGAGCAGCGAGCGCCGCGATTGGCGGAGGGCTGCGGGCGGCCCGGCCAATCGGCGGGCGGCGGGGCCGGCCGGCTCGACGGCGATTGGCCGGGGGCACCGGTTACCAAGCGGGACAAAGGAAGGCGAGCGCTGGGGCGAGAGCGGGGACGGGGTGTGGGGGGACCCGCGTCCGGCAGCGGTTCCGCACCCCGGGAGTGCCCGGGCTGGGCCCGACACCGGCAGCCCCAGCGCGACCCGTGGGGGAGCGCCTGCTGCCCGCACCGCCGGAGGTGCTGCTCCCTCCTCCCTCCGAGCCGGTGTGCCGCAGCGCCGGGCCTGCCTGCCACCCCCCCTGTGGGGACGGGGTGTGCGGGCACGGGGCGCCCTGTGCGGGTGGAGCCGCTGTCCCCATGCCCGGCTGTGTCTGACCCCTCAGCCGCTGCCTCGCTGCCACAAACAGGGCTCTCCTCCCTGCCCTGCCTGTGCAGGGCCCTGTCAGCTGCCTGCTCTGCGATCCACGTAATAACCCGATCATTTCAGAGGACACCGTAACTGACGCGGGTGTGACCCCCGGGAAAAACCCAGCGCGCTTTCTAGTGACATAACCAGCGGGGGGGAAGGGGGGGGGGGGGGAAGACACCAACCAACCAAAAACAAAAAAAAACCAAACCAACAAAAAATACCCACCAACCCACAGGAAAAGGCACCAAGCTGGATGTCTGTCTCTCATAAGCTTTGGGATAAGTCTGAGCTGTGAACACACCCGAAACGGAACCTCAGGCTGCCTGGCAGCCACATCCCGATGGGCAGCCACAGCCCGCAGCCCACAGGCACCGGCGGGAGGCAGAAGTGCTGCCAAGCTCGGCACTCAGCCTCGGCTTTAGCGCGGCAAAGCACACTCAGAGGAAGGCTAAACGAAGTTGAGAAATTCAGGAAAAGTCCTTTCCTGAGGCCTCCAACCAGTGTCGCAGGCACAAGGAGGGACAGCACCTCGATCTGCGGAGATGTCAGGGAATGCTGGAAAACCCAGCGCTGAAGCTTGTCTGCTTCATTTGCGCTTCAAAGCGTGGAAGAGCAAGTGACGAATAATTTCTCCTGCTCCAGCACTAGGCAGCAGCTCCTGAGAACATCTCCCGGCTTGGGTGAACCCGAGGGTGACTGCAATACTGAGTAACTGAGAGGCTGTACCCGATGTGAGAGTATGAGGGAAGATCTGAAGTTTGCTGATGTATCACAACTTCCACAGCCAGCAATTGAGAGCAGGCTGCTCCAGTAACAGAGCTCCTTGAGGGATGGACAGCTGCAGAGGAACACAGGGCTTTGATTCAAATCACTCACTGTATATAAATTAATTTTATAACCCCATCCACAAATTCTGATTAATCCGTGATAGCCAGATACGATTCCTTTTTCTAATTTTTAAATTAAATTCCTTGGGCTGATACAATATATTGGCTCCAGCTTGTTCAAAGGGAAATGGAAGGACAGCCCACTCCCCCAGAGAAAATTTGAGCTGGTGCTGTGGGTACAAGCCATTGGCTGCCCAGCGACAGGGTGTGGGGCACTGCACAAGGGTTGGGCATGGGTGCAGCTGGAGAGGTGGATGCTGCTTTGCAGGCCCTGCAGAACTAAAAACTGGGGCTGCAGTCCCTATGGCAGCCCCCAAACTTAGATTAGCAGCTCTGGCAGAGGTGGGGGAGGAGGCAGACTCGGGTTGAAATTCGTTTTCCCCCTTCCTGCACCTCATTATAAGTTCCACCCACATAAGACCTAATTACTTGGCTTTTATGCTGGCAAAGTGGATTTCATCCTTGCTGTTTCCCATGGTGGTTCCCTTCATTTTCATGGCGGCACTGATGGTTACAGCTTATTGATGTTTTCACTTTAGTGATTTAAAGCGGAATACATTTTGTTATTAGCACTGGTTTCTCTCATTGCTGCTTTAATCAAAGATGCAATTTAAGGCAAAGGATTGTGTGTAATGGTAAACAGTAGGATAATGCCTTGAGAGAACAGAATATTAATGTGTTTTTATTTCTCAAAACTGTACTTATATCTAGGATTGCTTGGCTCCCAAGACGCACGTATGAGGTGCTCCCTTTCCTACCACAACACCTGCCTTGCACAAGGGGTAAGCATGGTGTGCATGTGTGTGCTGAGGGGGGAGAGGGAGGCACATGTGCTGCCTCACACACTGCTAAACCCCCTCTGTCTGTGCCTCTCCTCCACAGGCACAAGGTCTGACCACCGAGCATCACAGCAGTGCTCACAGGGAACAGACACGAAACCCGGAGCACGCCGAGCGCTCAGGGATGCTCAGGGTCTGGTTGAGCACTGGGTCCCCCCAAATCAGGAAAACCTACATTCAAACGCTGAAATAAAATAATGGTGGTTATGGAAATGCTGGAGGAGGGGACCTGGTGCCCCACGCTAAGGCTGAAAGGCAAGAAGTGAGCCCGGTGCCTGCTGCCTTCCCGTCATCCCGCATCGGCGGCCATGCACTCACTCGCTTTCCTTCCCGAGGATCTGACAATTTGCATTTCAAGGCAAGATTAAATATTGAAGTTTTGAGCGCTTCCATGTGCTTCAGGAGGAGCCAAACAGACCCGCGCTGGAACAGGCTGAACACAGAAAAGCCATTTGTGCCAAACTGCTTGGTTTCCTCTTTGCAGAGCCATGATAATGTGATATCCGACAGCTGAATGTAGGCCACAACAGGCTTTTATAGTTGGAGGGGTGGAGGACGGAGGGAGGGAGGGAGGGGGCTGAATCCACGGTGCTGCCAGCCAAACGCACGAAAACGATGAGAGATTTTTGGGGCAGGCTGGAGACTCCTGGCCACTCCCAAGATCCACATATTAGCTTCACTGTTAGCACAAGCTCAGGGCCTGCTGGAGGGGAGCTTGGAGAAGGTAGAGCAGAAAGGACAACTCCCTGGCCGTCAGTAAACGCTACATGAAATTCCTGGCCTTGTGCTGCACAGACACTGGGATTTGTGGAGGATGGGCCATGACTGGTGGCCAGCTTCCCATGGAGGCAGCCGCACCTTGCAAGGAACAACCAGTTGCAGCAGTTTGGTTTAGTTAATGGATTCTTCTTGCCTGTTTCTCAGCTCCTGGTGATGAGGAGGAAAAGGCAGGAGGGCTGGTCTGCTTTGGCTTAGACACTACCACTGGGGCCTTGGCATGGCTCGATGCTGTGAGCTAAACCTGGGCCTTGCTGGTGGGAGAAGAGGTGTTGGGAAAGTCAGAGGGTCATCCTGCCTTCCTGAACCTGAGTGGTGCTGGTGGAATGGGGACAGTGCAAGCACCATCTTCCCCATCAATTGTACAGTCTGAGCCCCAAAAGTACCACAGAGACCACAAAGCACTTGCCACCAGATTAAGAGTATTAATCCCTGCAGGGATGAAGTAGCAGCAGTTTCCCTCCACGCATCCTCCAGCACCTTCATGTGAAATGTAATGGGTTTTTTTTAATAAGGGTTGTGATTCCTCCTCTCTGCTTTATAGTCATTTCATGTCCTAATAGGCTGCAAAACAGTTGCCTCACTCCACCCCAGATGTGGCCACATTTCTGTGGTGAGGAAAAACTCTGGCAAGTGCGCCGAAGTCGGGTGCTTTGGTTAGAAAATTATACATTGCATTAAAAACCTGTATTAAAGAATAATATGCGGTCTGCAAAAACATTCAAACAAAACACTTCAGCGTTAGGAAGTGTCTTATTTACAGCGGTGGGAGCCGCTTGTGCCCTTTTCCCTCCCCTGTCCACAGGGCAAGGATAGAGGTTGGGACGGGGGCTCACGTACCTAAAGGTCGGAGCACAGTGTGTGCACACAGAGCTGAGCTTGCAAGGAATCATACATTAGGCATTTCCTAACTTAAAAGCAGTTGGCTTTGTATTGTAAACAACATTCTTTTAACTTAGGAAATAGCATTTAAAAAAAGAATGAAGAAAAAGATCTTTTAAATAAATGTCTACAACGTAGGTTGTTGCAGCTGGACCTAAGGTATTCCTCAGCAAGGTTTGGGCTGGCCTGTCCTTGCTGCTCCAAAGGCTTCTGCCCAAAAATATTGCAGGAGTAATGGTCCACGATGGAAGCAGAAGGCTGCTCTCCTGTGAGGGGAGAGGAGGTGTGTGTGGCTTTTGCAGCTGGACAGTGGCCTGCACACTGGTGGACACATCTGCACCAGAGGGTGCCCAGGGTTGGGCATGCAAGGGGGTGGGCACGGGGTGGGGGGTGAGGGAAAGGACACACAGCGCTGAGCTGTGCTGAATTGCTGCTTTGGCAGACAGCACCGGGCCAGCTCTTTAGAAAGTTCACGTTCAGTTATTGTTTTGACAGGCTGCCAAAGTTTTCCTGAGGAATGCAGGCAGCAGAAGGGAAATGGTGATTTTCAAACTTTTTTTTTTTTTTTTTTTTTTTTTTTTAAATAACTCAGCCAAACCAGAATGGAATTTCATGGGAAAAGTGAAAGGTACATCTCTAGCCTCGGGGCATCGTTGCTGCCAAGTTTCAGGGTCTGGCTGCGAACAATGGAGGTGTCAGAGCATCTCCAAAGCAGTGCACCCTTGCACACACGCACACACTCACACACTCACGCACTGGAAGCACCTTCTCCGACGGTAACTGCTCCCACCCTTCACCCAGTGCTCCCAGAAAACCGATATTAACTCGTAGTGCTTTAAAAAAAAGACTATCTGTGGTGGAAAAGCAGACAACAAAGCCAATTTGCTGCTGATTACAGGTTTGCAACTTGGGAGGACACTTAGGCGCTCTCTCCCACCCCAATCCTGGCCTGCTGCCAGCTGCGCTCGGTGCTCCAGGGACCCCCCAACCCTCCCCCTTCTCCCCACACACTCTTCACTAGGTCGGCCCCAGAGCCACGGGGTATTTTTGCAGGTCTTCCTATCCCTAGGAAGGGTAGGAAGTTGCAAGCTCCCCTCCTCCTCCTTCTCCACAGAGGCGGGAGAGCAGCCGGTGAGCCGGGCTCTGGCGCTGCGGCACCCCGGGGTCTGCGGGGCTGTGGAGCTGGGCTGGGGAACTGCCAGTTACCTTATATTTTCCAGTACACTAATTTCTCTTGTCATCTTGCCAGTGACAAACAGAGAGAGTTAAACAGAGCAATCCATTAAAGAAGCAGCCTGACAGACCGATTGTTAAGGGTTTCAGCGATCCCCATTTACACTGGCTTGAAAAAAATTTTGCCTCGAGCAGCTCCAATTACAGAATTATCGGACCACACTCTGGTCCCTTTGTGCACTTTGCATCTCTGTCATCGTTCCAGGCCTCTCTCTATTTAGTTGCTTGGAAATGGTGAGCAAAATGGAAGGAAACTTGTAACAAGTTCAGAGAAATTAGAAGGGGAAAAAAGAGAGAGAGAAAAAAGCCACCTCCCCAGTTCTAATGTCCTAAACCAGAACACTTTTTAAATGTAACACTGTAGAGGAATTTAAAATATTTTTCACTTCCTCTATTCATTGCTTTAATGCACTGGAACTACTTGCTTAGATTTTTTCTTTTCCCAAGGAATGTACAATAACCACTCTGTAAATTCCTCAGGTCTGATTTTAAAAGGAACTGTAGAACTTTATTCATGGAGGAAAGAAATAATCCCAATACTTTCCTGCATTAACTCTTTCTTTTTAGTAAAAATGGCAGTGTATGTTTTGATCCCAGCCAGTGATGCAAGCAGCAGGAAGAGGAAATCAATGCCACCTCTAGGAAAAGTGAGGTCTCATCCCTGCTCTGCTGCCATCCCACTTGGTGACCTTCAAGCTGGATTGCCAGCACGGGTTTGAAGGTGGCACCATTCCCAGTAGGAGGAATTCTGGAAAAGCCCAGAGGAGTGGTCACTTCTGCAAACGCAAAGCTCGAACTCTGTAGATTTGTTATTATTCTGAAAAAAAACCCAACTCAATAGTTTTCCTACACTACGATGCAAAGCTGAAGGGTTCCCTAACCCTTCACCCACAGCTGAGACAGGCACAGTCCACCATAATGCAGCAGCTACATGATGTGGACATTATGCCTCCAACTCAAAGTGATCTCACCTATTTATCTTCCAGCAAATTTTCCCATTCCCGGCTTCCTGAATGATTTTACCATCCCATAGCTAGTGTTATCCTAGTACTAGTACCCTTATATATGCAGAATGTGTTACCCCAGGGTAAGAAAGCTCCCATCCCCCCTTTTCTTACAGCTGAGATTATCTGGTTTCACAAGGAGGAAAAGTGAGCAAAGCCACCCCTGGGTACTGCTGGAGGAGGCTGAGATCAAACTTCAGTGCTAATGCACAGGGGAATGCTGGCTTCCCTCTGGCCCAAAACAGAAGGCAGTTTCTCCTGGTTGAGTCCCCAGTCCTGCCATGCAACTCCCTTGGCCCCATCCCTTTCCCTGGGATGTGGTGGAGCTGACCTATCACTCTTTGTGTCCAGGGAACCTCGCTGCAACACATTCGTACTCGGAGCTCTGCCCAGCCCCAGTAACGGAGACTCCCACCCCAGGTTTTGGGTGGAGATGGAAAGCAGGAGAAAAACCCCCGTAACAACCCCGGGAGCTCTCGGGGGTATTGAAAAGTCCTCTCATTTCTTATTAATCACTTATGCCAAGAATTCAAACGTCGGCCGTGTGTTGGCTGGGGTTGTTTTCCTTGCAGTTATCCACATGCAATTCATGCCTTGGAAAATGACCCATTTACCATCATGCATTGTTGCTTAGCTACACGCGCTTTCCCTCTAAGTTTTCCCAAATGGAAACATGGCTCTGTTTGCTTTGGAGATCATTTTCCCTGGCTTTCTCTGCTTTACAGTAAATAAGCAAAAGAAGAACAGCCTCTGAGCGCTGAGCAAGGAAATAAAACAAACGGCATGGTGTAGGGTGATTGTTTAAAATCCAGCACATGAACATGATGCCTTCCTTGTCCAGCCAAGGAAATGGGCAGGGAGGGTTTGAGCAAAGGCAACTTGCAGGTCAGCTTCTTTAAGACCTTTTCTTGTCTGTCTTTTCCATTAAGGTTATTTCCCTGCTGAAGGTTTCTGAACTCAAACCGGGAATTTGGTTGAATAATGCTGGGTTCCCAAGAGAATATTATTTCTGTGGAGGACAGGTGGGACTCACTGAGAACTCACTCTGCTGCCATGCTTGCCTTGTGGAGTCCTAGATATCCTCTAGAAACATACAGGATATATCCCTTATACCTGAAAACCACCACATTACTTTGTGCCATTGGACAAGACTTTATCAATCAAACCCCAAAATTTCATAGATTCACTAAGTCCTGGTTGTAGTGGCACAGCTGGAGTTGGGCACAAGTTGGCAGATGAGCCACTGCAGCATGAAGTTCAGCCTCCCAGCACACCAGGTAAATCTTATGGCTGTTTGCTGGAATCCTGAGCCCACCAGTGCCTATGCTACACAGATGTCCTCGAAACATGCAACAAATCCAGAGCATTTGGAAAGCATCAGCTTTACAGCCTGTGCACGGAGGGACTGCACAGCACGTGTGTGGCTGGTCCCCTGCGTCCTGGGAGCACTGGTCTTGCTAAGCATGTGCCTTCGGGCTGAGCTGTGCTTGCATCCAGGATTTCCAGATGTCCGGCAGTTCATCTGTTCCTCAAGGATCAGATAAAACTTGCAACATCTTCAGATTTTAATGAGGACAAAGCTTTCGGGTAAAATGCAGCGGAGTCTCTCTCACAACACATGGGTTGGTAGAGAACACAGTGAAAAATCTTTTGTCTCCTGGTGCCATGACCATGCACTGGACACGAGCTCTTTGTGGAGCGCAGACACAGCTGTCAGCTGCAGGAGCACTGGGTGCCTGCAGCTCTCAGGAATGGGATGCCCCAAAGGGTGAGCTCTCTCCCTGCCTTCTGCTGACAAAGCATAGAATGTGTATTGTCTCCGAAAAGAAAAAGGGGAGAGACGGAGTAAATCGTGCAGTGCTGATTGCCAGGCCAATACACTGGTCTAAGGTTTAATACAACTGGTTTCCAGGCCAAGAACCTGCCAGAAAATGAAGAGGGATATTGTAGCTATGCAAATCCCAGCCGGTGGGTTGACTCATCCCAAACACTGGGGCTCTGTGAGAGCTGCTAGCACCTTTACTGAAGCTCTTATCTTCCTTTGGGGAAACGTACACAATACAGCTTTGTTTGGGGCAATACCTTCCGGGTGAATGGCCTCTTAAAAGTGCTTTGAGGAATTAAATGGGTGAAAACAGTGTGAGAAAGAGAGGCAGGGGAAGGGAGGAAAAACTTGCTTGCTGCACTACAGGAGGCAAAGATGGTGGATACTAAAACCACTAAATAAGGAGCTAGGAGCTATGTCAGACTGAAAGAAGCAAACATGTGACCAGGCTCCCTGCCACAAGAGGCACCCCAAGACAGTGGCTCAGTCACAAAGCGAGATTCCACTTCCCTGTCCCCTGTGTCCCTGCAGGCAGGATGGGGATGCTCTTGCTTGTGGATGCTGTCTGGGCCTGTGGCACTCCAGTCTTGTCCTGGGCAAAGGATCACTCTGGCTCAGCGCAGACTGGGCACCTGCCCTAAGTCCTGGAGCTGAATCAGGCCAAGGACAGTTTTAATGAATGGAATTCTCCCCGGTTTTATTATTTTTGGAAGCCTGGAAACACCTGCCTATTGCTCAGAGAAACAAGGCAGGCAGCATAAATGTCTGGCAGCACCTCTCATTTGTTCCATGTCCTTCCTGGGCAGCCTTTGGAGCCCAGCCCTGCCAGCACCCTGTGCTCCCCATGTTTGGTTTGGAGTTGGCCCTGTGAAAAATGAACATCAAAAGGGCTCTTTCAGCAAGGGCTATTTCCACATCAAATGCCTACCTCCAGTCCTGAGCCATCAGGGAGAGAGCTCTTTATAAAAGGAGAGGGAAGATTAATATTATTTTTCAAAAGTATAATGGGAGGTTTCCACTCCCCAAGCACTTCAGAGTTGGTTTTTGCACAAAGCCATAATAATTTCAACCCCAA